ACCGAACTACAAACTTTCCAGTGATGTCTGTGAGAAAGGTATATTCACTCGACAAGCTCGCGCATCTGCGCCGCCGCGCGCTCAATCCACTCAGCGTGATTTGCTTATCAGCTCGTGCACATCAGTTATACAGTCAATACTGAATGTTTAACATTATATTCATTGCATACATATAATTCGTAGACATCCTTAATCTCTAATAACTCCATTCTGCTGTCTGTTGTTCTGTTGTCGGTGTTTCATTGTCAGAATATGGCACTTAACACATGCTGTGTGGTATCGGCGTTTGGTATCGGGGCATTTTAACAAGAACGAGTACAGGAGCTCAGTATCGGGCCCGATACCGATACCAGTATTGCTCAGGTAATGTCGTCGGTAAGATGCCGAGAGCCATTGAAAAACTACAGAAAAGTAAAACTACTTCACTTTAGCATTACTGGCCATGAGTACTAAGGAGAGATCACACATCAGGTGCTCAAAAAATGTGTCAGTGAGACGAACTGAGCGCCAGCACAATCCTGTGACAGTCACACGCTGTAAATAGTGCAGCGCGTGAAGGAGAGATGCGAGGACACGAACACTGTTCAAGGTCTCCATTAATTCGTGCTTGTAGTAATTTAATGTGTGTATATATTTTGAAAGCATTGAATTGCTATAAAAATTGCGATTCATTCGATTATTAGCGTTTTAAATCAATTACTGTACGAAATCGACGATGCAAAAATCGTTTCAAGATGCAGATGCATCGATAAAACGAGTGAATTGTTACACCCCTAGTGTCCACTGATCCTTAAAAAGTTTTAAATTCTTTAATGTAAAAATAAAACCTTAACGGTCATTAAATAATCCACGTTTCAAATGCCTTAAAATGTAGCTAAACAGAAGATTTACATTTTATTTTCGCTCATGTGTGTGTGTTTTCTTTCATTTTGTTAATTAAGTGAAATAAATTTTGTGTATAGACCTATTTAACTTTAAAGTGCTGCAGGTGCGTGATGTGAAGATGTGTGAATCCCGATGTTCTGATCTCTGGGGGAAAAAAAATAAATATATTTTTAATGGGTCACAGGCACTTGTCCATTCTGATTTAATTGTAATTTAACATAACCGGTTAACAGTTAATTATCGGTTAAGGGGCGTTGATTATCCTGCTGGTTTCAAAACACACACCACACTGTAGTATATGCCAATGATTAAGCCTGTCACGATAACAACTTTTTGTTGTGCGATATATTGCCCCAGAAATAATAATAATTTTATAAACCATTTTATGCCACTGAATATATAATCATAATGTAACAGCATAATAATGCAAGCAGGCCGACACACCTCCAAATGACAACAAACTAAATATTTTAAATAATATTTAGATCATGGAAATTAAGTATCAAAATATTAGATACCTTAAAAAACCTGAATAAATAGTAAATAAACATTTTCTAACAAAAAGTGCAAAGTAACAAGTAGAAAAAAAGAAAATGCACAAAGAACTTGTATGGAGATTTTTCCATTTACAGATTTTTTTCCCTGATCTTTTTTTCTCTGTAAATTAACGGTGCACTGTATTGCTGAAAAACACAATCACTACTCAGCAGTCAGATGTCCGTATGCACAAAGGCACAAATCCCTAAACAAGATCATATCTGCAGATGAAACTTTTTTTTGTTGAAGCATTTTTAAATGTGAACTAGCAACTCATGACTACACCACGTTATGTACGAGAAGCTGCAGAAGACACAGGCGCAAGTGGAATGTACAAAACATGGTGACATTAATTTTTAAGTAAATATAATGGACGATATATTGCGCCACCAAAAATTATTGAGGTCATGTACATATATTGCGCGATAAGTCGATATATTGATTATTGCGACAGGCATACCATTGATTTTCACTTAAAGGTGCACTAAGCGATTTTTGAAAAACGCTTTTGACCACAGCGTCAGACCGAGTCCCAAAACACACTTGTACCCAATCAGCAGTAAGGGGGCGTGTCTTGAAGAGAGCGCTCAATTTGAGTGCACAGGACGGATGTTAGCAGATATAGAGATAGAGAGCAGATAAAAAAAAAGAGGAAAATATCAGAGAGACAAAATATAAAAAAATAAAGGTTCTTCTTGATAGGTAAGTAATGTTGAATTTGCTTCATTTCACACAAATTATCCATGTTGGCTTTTGTTTGAATATGCTTGTGTGTCATCTTCACTTGTTTCCGCGATCGCTGTTGCCATGGTTGTGTACGTACGTGTGGGGAGGAGATTTCAAAATAAGGGTGAGGTCCTGTTGGGGTATGGGAGTGTTTGTTTTGGTGCTTTCAAATATCAACATCGTTTGGCAAAAATCGCTTAGTGCACCTTTAAATCTAATGCTTTAACAGTTGGTGACATCCTCAGAAAACCTCTAATGGCAGCGCATTGCCATAACTTGCCTATGATGAGCTTGACAACTTGACTTTGTATTTCACTCACGTTGGCTGCATCAGTTATTTTCATCATTATAATGTTTTCATTTCAGGCCTGATGAAAGTGAAAGAGGAAAGACAAGATCTGAATGAAGTGGAGGAGAAGCATCAGGATCAGAAAGATCATGATCTCAACACTGGAGAAAAATCAGTGAGTTTCTCTAAAACTGAAAACAGCAACATTCAAATACCAGAAGTCAAAAAGCCTTTCAGCTGCTCTCAGTGTGGAAACACTTTCAAACAGAAAAGAAGCCTTATGTACCACATGCTAGTTCATGCTGGAATAAAGCCTTTCAGCTGCTCTCAGTGTGGAAAGAGTTTTACACAGAAAAAACAACTCAATGAGCATGTGCGTATTCACTCTTCAGAAAAGCCTTTTACCTGCTCTCAGTGCGGAAGGAGTTTTACACAGAAAAAACAACTCAATGAGCATGTACGCATTCACTCTTCTGTAAAGCCTTTCAGCTGCTCTCAGTGTGGAAACACTTTCACGCGTAAAGCAAGCCTTAAAAACCACATGATAATTCATACTGGGAAAATGCCTTTCAGCTGCTCTCAATGTGGAAACACTTTCAAACAGAAAAGAAGCCTTATGTACCACATGTTAGTTCATGCTGGAATAAAGCCTTTCAGCTGCTCTCAGTGTGGAAGGAGTTTTACACACAAAAAACAACTTAGTGATCATGTGCATATTCACTCTTCAGAAAAGCCTTTCAGCTGCTCTCAGTGTGGAAACACTTTCACACGTAAAGCAAGCCTTAACAATCACATTATAATTCATAGTGGGAAAAAGCCTTTCAGCTGCTCTCAGTGTGGAAACACTTTCACACGTAAAGGAAGCCTGAAGAATCACATGTTGATTCACAATGGAATAAAGCCTTTCGTCTGCTCTCAGTGTGGAAAGAGTTTTATTCAGAAAGGACACCTTAAGGTTCATTTGATAACTCACTCTTCGGAAAAGCCTTTCACCTGCTCTCAGTGTGGAATCTGTTTCGCCTATAAACAAGGATTTAATATTCACATGAGAATTCACACTGGAGCGAAGTCATCTGTGTGAGAAGAGTTGGAAAGCTGGTCTCAGAGCTCATGTTCATCGCTTTCACTGTGCCGTGAGGAAATTGAACTGATCTGGAAGGAGATTTCTAAGGGTTGACTCTAGTGCTGGGTGGTATACCGGTTCATACCGAATACCGGTGTTTATTTTTCTTATGATATGAATTTCTAAAATACCGCAATACCGGTGTATGTCGTTTAAACAACGTTCAGAATGCGACTGTTTGAGAGCGTTCTCTTTTCACTGTTGCACTGTGGTGAGGGAAGAGCTGTATGTGTTACTAAGCGTGAAAGTTCTGAAACTGAAGCTGTAACTAGCAGAACTTGAGCTCAGCCACAAATATTCACCGCCCGCTGCCATCAGCTCCTGCGTCTCACACACACAAGCGTGACTTTAGCACTATATTTAGCAACTTTCAGACCCTTTTAGCGGCTTTTTTCCATAGAATATACTGACAAACCTAGCGATTTTTTGGATAAACCTTAGCCATTGTTCAGTTGGAAGATGTCACTTGTACTGCCCCGCAAGGTCTGACTCTCCCGGCGCAGTATCGCCTCTCTCAGCGTCTGTTCTGTGCAGTGAGCGGCAGAGAAGTAGAGCATTCAGTTGCCTGTAACGCAGCAGAATCGTCAGTAAATGAGTTCAAAACAGCGTTTCCAAGCACCTGTCCACTGACACTGACTGTTTGGAATTATAAATCTGAGCATAGTTCTCATATTATGCACTTTTATTTTATTTTTTATTTTTTTTGTTACTCAGACACAGGCAGTGCGCTGCATGAGGCAAAAAAGTAATATAGCCAAAACCACCGCATAGCCGCTCTTTAGTGTAGATGCATGTTGATTTTATCAGACGATGTCGCGTTAATAAATGAGTGACTCCTGGTTAACATGTATTAATGGGTCGTGTTTAGTCACTATTTAGTGTGGAATTTTTCTACAATATTTACTCATCATGACAGTAAAATATGGCATTCTAAGTCAATGTACTGCAGTATTTCCTCTCTGTCAGTAGAAAATGTGGTTAACACCCGGTCATGCATGAAAAAAAAATACTGTCATATACTGTGAAGCCGGCATAATTTTGAAAAATACTGTGATATAAATTTTTGGTCATACCGCCCAGCACTTGTTGACTTTAAAAAAAGCCCCAGAAAATAATTATTAAGAGAGCGAAAACTCTCTCTGTGCTGTGAGTGTGGGAAGAGCTTTGATACAGTACATATGGCAGCAACTGTGACTGAAATACGGTGAAGCAACATTGATCATATTTAAAAGTAAATTTTCTCTCAGAATCTTGACTTTGTCCCTGAGGTAAACAGACATTAAGTTGATTCTGACTCATTTTTAGACCTCAGTTGCAAGGTGGAGAAAGTGGAAAATCACAAGTCTATTTCTTTCATTATTCATTTTTGTTTTGCCAATTTTCTCCTTCATAACTGTGTTTTTTTTTTTATGAGATTTTGTCCGCTTTTAGGCATTTAAGGCATTCATTTGTTTTGGGGGCATTTACATGATACAGTTTTCAATGAAATACTGAAAACATTTTATGCATTTTGCTATTTATTTAGAGTTCATTTTCGGTTTTTCCCAGTCACTTTGGCTTAATTATTGAACTATAATTTTTATAATTCAGCTCTCTTTGAACAGTTTTATTGTTCACACCAAATTTGAATTTCTTATTAAAGAAAATTGCATCGCTATATATGACTTGCATGAAAATTCATTTTCTTTTTACATGTAATGTTAAATGTGTAATGTGTAATGTTCTACACAAATAAATGTACTGTATACATTCAAATGTGCATATTCATTCTCTGTGTACAATAGGATTGACTTTTACCTTCTGTTGAAATCTTCCGGACGTAGGGCTGGGCGATATATCGAATATTTCCCATCTCAGAGGGTTTTTAGTGCCAGAGGGAACATAGTTTCATGCCACAGAGCTTCTCTTAAACCAGAGATAGTTGACAGACTTGTGTTCTTAGCAAAAAACTTGTAAAAATACTTATCCCAGTTTAATTATTTCCCCCAGTTGCACAGTGTAAATTGTGAATTGCATGCACCAAACAAGTTGACAGAATGCACTTTCTGTACTTGTTTTGCGCTACTTCAGTTACATATACATGTGTTCATTTAATAAAAAGCAGTAAGTGATCACTTGGTCTAGATTTTTTTTAACTGCTTAAATTTGCACTAAACATTTTGTATTTACTTTGTAACAATAACTTCTATCTAAATTGTTTTTGTTGTTTTTTAATGGGGGCAAAATAATTTTTTTTTTTTTTAATTGTTTAAAAGCAAATGCAAACATATCGAGATATATATCGAATATCGTACAAATTTTGACAATATCGAGATACAGTTTTTTTTTATATATATCGCCCAGCCCTACACCACAGCAATGTTGTCTCCAAATGGGTTTCATCCATAGACTGTAAAAAAAAAACATGGACGTAGTGTCCGTGACGTCACTCGTAGGTTTTAGAAGAGCATTTTTGAAGCCTAAAGTGGACAGAGCCGACCGCCACCATCTTGGCAGCGCGTCACTCCCGGATAATCGAAAATGGGCAAAAAGGCGGGACGTGGGTGAAGCTGAGGCGCTAGTTGCTGAAACCACGCCCGTCTATGGTGACCGCAGTGCTACTGTGCAAAGACAAAACACCATAACTTTGTTTTTGGTCTAAATTAGTTATTGATAATTTTGGGACATATATGACCTCCTTTATCATGTGTATAAGTATCTTGGAGAAAAGCCCAGGAGAAACCAAGGCAGAACACAGTATCATCTGTTACCGCTCTTTGACTTTGTTTTAGATCGCTCAAATGAAGTTACGGTGCTCTGCATTTGCTAAGCCGTTCGTCAATATTACTGTGCCAGCCTGGAGTTGTACGGTATTCTGCCTTTGTTTTAATGTCCATTAAAGTCTGCCACGTTTAAATTACAGTGTGACTTGTGTACTTTCATACATCTGTCGGCACTTCTTTAGACAAACAAATTAGATAGATCGCGATCTAACAAACTGCTCCATATAACAAAGCACTGTAAACAAGCAACGACTAGATAACTTGGCAACAATAATTAATCGTAAATAATCTTTAGCGGTTCGCAATTAAAATCTGTTTCCTACCTTTTCTTGTAACTCGATAAAAAAAACATTGCAATGAACATTTAATTCACAATCATTCTGAGCATTATTCCTGCTGGCGCTCACATCAATCCATTCAGTTCGATGTAAAAACAATAGGCTAAGTATGTCTTGCATCCTTTAATGTTAGCGAACATTGCAAATAAATTGGTTGCAAAACGGTATCCACTCAGGTTTAACTTGTTGTCTGGTTGTTACGGTCAGAAAAAAAAATTGAATTATATTACTATATGTTATAGCCTAGACAATGATCACTAGATTTTATACAGATGTTACTATAATGATTCTGTAAATGGTGATCAGCACCCAAATATTGCATATAATGTGGAAGCTACTGCCTTTTGCCTTGGCGTGACATCTCACTTTTTGCAGAGTACCTACAATAACTTCAAAATAGTGGTAAAAATCAAGTTTGAGATAATTTTCATTAAAACATCTAATTGCCAGATTTCCAGTGTCCTA